TTGCAAGAGGACAAATTAAAGCTAGAAAAGATGATGATCTAATGTGCAATAGTAAGACAAAATTCACACTTAGGGCATTTAATTAAATTTCCATGCGTATTTTTTTTCCCACTCCCCTTCCTTTTTACAGTTTCTTCCTTCCAGTTGTGTTCCATTGAAATAAGTTGAGCCGGTATAGCATAGCTCAAGTATTTCTCCACTTCCCTCCTTAAGTCTTGTTGGAAAAATGGGTCATGAGAATTTAGGATGTTATTTGCCTCTACTTAGCGTCATTGAGCTTACTGTTGCATTATAGGAAAATTTGTTATCAAGAGACAATAGAGACTTGGACGAGAAACTACAACTAGTAAAGTTAAAGATTCTCCGGTGAAACTTTCTATGGTACAAAGAAAAATAAGAGTGACTTTTAGTGAGAGGTGATAAAAAGCCTTTGTGTTAATCGACTTGGATTATTTCATTTTATAAGTTCTAGAGAGTTGTCACAAAGAGGGGTGTGTCCATTTGATTTGTACCATGGTTTTAAAAAACGACCAAAAACTAGAACCATTCTAGCCACCGGTTTTTGAGTTAATGGTTCAACCATCTGGCTCGAACGGATGGCCTGTTTTTACAAAAAATTAAAAATAAAAAATGTCAAAAAACCATTGAACGGGTCGATGGTTTGACCATCTGGATCAACGGATCATTGACTGATCCAACAGTTTTTGGACAAGGACCGAGTTTAGGGTAAAACAGAGCCGGTTGCCTAGACTGTTCTTGGGCTAAATGGTCCAATCATCTAGGTCAACAACGGTTCAAAAACCATAATTTGTACAATTATGAATTCAAATTCTGTGACTACAAACAGCTAGTTGATAGTTAATGATTGTTAATGTTTGAATAAGATACCTTCGTCACACTTGATAAAGTTATGACTATTGAATTAATTTAAAACATCAATGGTTATGGTTCGGTCCCAAGACTCAAATGCACCCTCATGTCTGATTCAAACCAAATGCGGCTTTCCGGAGTCTCTACTTGCGAATTGCGAGTTGCGGCTTGCGATTTTTGCCATTTGGCATAACTTGTGATTTGCAATTTCGCTTAGTGTGTGACTTGTGATTTTACAAAATTCATAGTCTACGAATTTGTGATTTTGCAAAGTCTGCTGCTTACAATTTGTGATTTCGCAAAACCATCTCAATGCATCAAGTGCGCCTTAATGCACTGCACACATGTGTGCATGCGGGTTTAAGTCTCTATTCTCTTCTTTACAAATGTAAGTAATGCAAATAAACGTTTTGTGGCAACATTTGTTTAATGACATTTAATACAAACATCTTAAAAGATAACGTTTCCAATAAATATTAGATGGAAACAGTAGCTTGGGCGCAATTCCTAGGGTAATAGTGGATCAGCGGAGCACCCACTCATTATCCTTCCATCGGCGGGAGCGGGAGGTTGTCGCTGCTCGCCAGCTTGATATGCCGTTGCAGATGAAAAGGAGACAAATCGGCAGAGGCCTACTGTCCCTTGTAGATCAAAAGACAAATCGTTGCAAATGCCGTTTGCCTATTAGATGTAACTGTGCAGGAATACTGTGAGAGAAGTCTCGACTATGAAAGAAAGAGAGAAGATGAAAGGGGGAGAGGAAAAGACAAAAGAAATCGATGACTTACCTCACCAGATTTTGGTTCAGTTCGATCAATCCTTTTCAGACCCCGAAGGAAGGAGAGGCAAGAGATTAGGAGAGATGGATGGAAACTAAAATCGGAGAGAAAAGTTTAAGGGGGCTTCGCTGGTGCAGATGAGGGATGATGAAGGAAGTGGGAGTTTCGTTTGCGCGGGATTCTTTTTGTTTTTCAATGTACTACGGAGTGAATGTTTTGCGATTATGCATTCGCCACCATACCTAATTGTTTCTATAGCAGCGATTTTTGTTAATCGCCACTTAAAAAACAGACGTATAGCGACGGGTTTCTTGGTGTCGCTAAGAAATCCGCCGCTATATGCTGAGTTTGTTGTAGTGCTTATAGATCCAATTTACATGCATAAAACTTGAAAGCATACTCAGTTGTAAGTTCTCAGTCTCAACTTCTTCATGTTCATCATTATTCAGAGTAAATGGAATTACAATGGTATCCTCTAGGCACAAACAATCAAAAGAATTGTTCCTCTTTTTTCCTTTCCATTTTATCAGATAACATGTACATGACCAAAACATATAGAACATTTAGCAAATTATATAGAAACATAGTGCAAAATTGTTTTATTGATCATTGTGTATCTTTTGTTCTGATCTTCTTTCCATGTATTTATTTATTTCTTTACTCATTTTGACCTGAAACAAACTAACAATCTCTCATGGACCATCATCAGCCTTTAGTCCTTATAGACAAAAAGGAAAAAAGAACATTATTTCAGAGAAAAGAAAATGAGAAGGCAAGAATAGTTGATGAAACATGAGGTAATGTGGAATTATTGGTCAGGTGAAGGAAAGGGGTAAGATACCAACAAATTAATTACTACCAAAATATATTATTATATTTCTGTTTTTCGCAATTAATATTAGTGACATAGTAATAACTCATGATTAATTACTTAGTGATATGTTTCCAACAAATTAATTAATTACCAATAATAATTAATTATTATATTAATATTAAAATTTAAAAATTAATAATTATTTTATGAATAATTAAATTAATTACTTTTATTACTATTTTAATATCAGAATTAGTTAAAAACTCCCAAAATTCAATTAAAAACTATTATTCGTATATTCATCATTAATTAAAAATTACAAAAATTAAATACCAAAATTTATTTATTGTTTTTATTAATTTATATTAGTGATATATTACTAACAAATAAATTAATTGGTAAGAATAATTCATTATTTTATTGATATAAAAATTTAAAAATTAATAATTTTGTTCATTAATAACTAAATTAATTATTTTATTAATATTTCTAATAATTCATAATATTATTTTTATTAATTAATAATATTATTGGACTTTACTGTTAATAACATTAATATTTTTTATAAATTAAGAATTATAAAATTTATTAATTCATAATTAATAATTTTTAACAATTTTTGTGAATAATTGAAAAATACCATAAAATAGTATTGTTTTTAGTAATTAATATACTCTTAATAACCATAAATTAAAAGTACTGCTATTAATTACCAGCGGGGACCCATGTGATGCACGAGTTTTGTTAAAAGAATTGGAGGCAAAAGGAGCTAGGGGTATAGCTTAGGTTGGGTGGGCCTAACTCAATCCCGACCTGACTCAACCAAAGGTTTTGCACAAGTTGTGCTTGAGTTTTCAAACTTCAAAGTTGAAATTGAGTTTAAGACAAAAAAACTCAAGGCTAACCTAAACTTAAGTTGGGGCTTCAGTTAAGGCCTTGGATAGTTCTAGCTTGACCTAACCCAATTTTTGCCCACACCAACATTTTATTATATACATATCTACATACTATCAATATGTTCTACTTGGAAATTGGGCTATAAAGCTCAATACGCTTAGTCAAAGTCCAACCCAAGATGTTAGGTTAAGGTTAGGTCAGGCCTGAGTTGGTAAATTCAGGCATATTAGTAAATTACCTATAACTGTTGAAAATTATCGGTAACTTTTCTTTTACCAACCTATCCCTAACCCGAGCTTTAACCGAACATTTTGAGTTGGACTTGAGATTAGACATGTTGATCTTTGTAGCCCAATTTCTAAGTAGAATATTTTGATAATATATAGATATGTATATCACAAAATGTTGGATAATCTCAAATTGGTTGAATCAGGCTGGAATTACCTGAAGCGTCAACCCAAGCCTAATCTGAATTTAGGTTAGACTTCACTTTTTTTGGAATTAGGGATGCAGCTTGGGTTCTATAATATTACACACGCTCTAAGTGGTTGAACCCAATTAGTGAATAAGTTTTCTAGGATTTTAAAGGCTCCAGGAAATTTTATAAATTATACACCTTTAAATATGCCTTTGTTTAATTATTTTATCGACTATAAAAAAAAAAACAAATCATTCAATTAAACAACTTTCGGTTGTGTCAATCTCGTTTGACAGAGAAGGCCCACCGTGGTCCGTGGGATGTCAAGATCATTCGCTGCAAGACTTGAAGAAGTCAATGATGCCTTCCACGGTTTCCTCTTGTGGTGTAAACCAATCAAAGGAGTTTCGAATCTGTTAAGCATGGTCCCATTTGGTCACACCACAAGTGGAAGATTTTCTTATCCAAGTGATTTTTATTTTTTATTATTATAAAATAAACAATTTGGTGGATATTTTCAGTTTAATTTATCAATGATTTATAATATCAGTTCAATCAAAACCAATCTGACCTTGCTTAATATTTTCAGTTTAATATTCTTAGTATCTCCTCTTCTTTCAGTTTATTTGTATTATTTTCTGTATCTATCTTAATTGTGAATTCTTGTTGAATTGAATTACGGGAAGTTCTCTTAATTTGAGGAATGGTGATCTCTCTCAATGTCCTCCATTATTTTGTAACAAAATGAACAGCCCTTTCCCATAAATTCTTTGTTGTTTGAACTCGAGCCAAAGAATGATGGTGATTATCAAAATCATTCTCTTGATTTAATTACGGTGTTCTAATTTGTGAAAAAAAAAAAAAAAAACTGCTTCTTCTGACTTTCTGACTTTCTCTCCTCGACTGGTCATCAGAAATAGGGGTATCAGCTGGTATTTAAAAGAAAAGATACCAATTACTTCAGATGTGGAAATTAAAATGGACATTATATTTTCTTGGGGTCCTTCCTTGATTTCAGAACTAAATATTATTTAATAAACTTTTGCCATTTGACCTAAAAAATAAAATAAAAACAAAATTCACTTTATTTTTATACTTTTCCATATTGGTGTCGGGTGATAATAGTTCTAATTGGTGAAGAGAAAGCATCTATCTGTCTACACGTATGCACACACGATCGAGAATGATCTATAAATAGGGGTTGGAGCGAATGATAGCTAACACATTGAATTGAAGTAACAAAATGAAGTCCATTGTCCTGGTTTGTGTTCTTCTGATTTCAGTTCTTTTCCCCCCAACGGAAGTAGGGGCTCGACTATTGGTCGAGAAGTCTCTACTAGGTATGTATACCATATCATTTTCCTTGTATTTCATATTAATTAATTGTATCTGTTTGGCATCGATGCCATTGCTCCAGAAAACGGAAAATGCCTGTTTAGAAGTCTTTCCTCCGAATCAATGCATTTACAGCGCTAGTTTCATATAAAAAAAAAAAAAAGAAAGGAAAAAAGAACAACTGAAGTGAAAGAATTTGTTTCGCCCACGAAAAATTTAGAAGTCTTTCTCTTCCGATTCTCTAGTGAGAGAAGAGTCATCTCTGATGAGAATACCTTCATCAATTACATAATCATCTTCTTTTGTTAATCGGTTTCATGTTCTATATGGTTCAGAAATGGCTGCTACGCCCATAACTGTTAATCCTGCTCGTCCAGTCTGTGGCAAAGGTACACTGTACAAGTCTTGCATCCCTGCCAGAAAGCACCCTCCGAAGTGTAAATCCATCTATCGTTGCAGATCATCACCTCCCTCCCCTTAAAATGACTATTAATTTAGTAGCTTATGGTCTCAATTCACCAATATGATCAAATAGTATAGCCCTCAACATGCTTTGTGGGTTTTGGTGTTAATTTTTAAAAAGGGGATCAGTTGTATTGGAGAAGTGCTTGATTTAATGATGTAAGCTAAGCTGGTATATGGTATGTATCAGTACAAAGAATAAAGGATCAAAAGTAGGTAGTGTTTTATTTCTCTTCTCTCCTCCCTCTTTACCTTTCATCCCTCCAGTTGTATGTGATTGAAATTATCAACAACAGTGAATTTTATGTATTACTCCTTGTTATATTAATCCTCTTGGAAGTTCATTTTTAATGTTTTATGTTAAATAAAGGATCTTGATTGTGGTCAGTGTTATCGTAAAATACATAACATTACTGATTGTAAGGGGGTAATTTTTTTGGATTTTGAAAGGGGGGAAAGTTCGTCAATGGGATTATAGTTCCCATTGATCAAGAATCTCATGTTCTTTTTTTAGATTTATGTGAGGATCAGAGAAAGTTTATCTTCCAGAGTATCACTTACGCGGGTAAGTGATATCCATCTCCTAAGTGGGTAAATAACTTTCTCACCTAGTTAGGGGGAGAGTTGTCACTTGCCAACACTTGAATGGGACAAAAATGTCCCTTTAAATAATGGATTTTTTATGGCTAAAATGGTCATTGTCTTATTTACATGAGAAATAAAAAAACATAGGTAAATACACTTACCCAAGTAAATGTTTCCCAAGAAAAATAACTTACCAAAAATAATGCTATATAATTACTCATCAACCATGCACCCTTATTTTCCAGATTTTACAATTTTTGTTTGCCTTGGGTTCTTGTTTTTTTCTTTGTATTATTTTGTTGTTAAATTAAGGACACTTCATCATCATTTATCTCTTTCTATTTATTTGTTCTGTAGAAAAGGACGCTTTCATAGTTCCATTACTCTTATTCCTAAAACTCCACCTATTATTTGTAGCAAGAATGGTAATTGGTAATTAAACCATACTAGTGACTGAATTGGTAAACCATATATAGATACACACACATATAATCCCCTTTTCCCTTTTTCTCTCATCCCTCCAAACAGTGACTGAATTTCTCAATTCCATCGATAGTGAAGGTTATGTTTGTTACTTTTCTATTCGTTAGACCTGGACCAGTCTGAACGATTGAACCATTGAACCATGTCACCCACAGTTGATGATTGAGCTAATTTCCCTACTAGACTCAATTATATGCTATCATTCCAACATATATATGAAGCCCCAATTAATATTATAATGTCAACAAGATCCGGTCCAATATGGGTCCGAGTGTAACTTGGACGGGCTTGGGATGTAAATTTGATAAAATCTGAATGGACCTAGCACAATGCCATAAGGGGGGCACCCCACAAGGTTTCACAACACATTCTTGCCATGTATTAAGAATATCTCTTAATGATGATATCATTGCTTCTAATATTATCATAGGGAGATGTGAACTCACTTAACACAAAATAAGAACGGGAAAAGTACATCCATTGACTCTGACTGCCCAAGTCAAGAGTTGGAATTTGATAATTAATAAGCAGCATTGACTCCAAGTCAATGACCTACCAAAATGTGATAGTTTATAAACAAACAAACCTGAATATAGGCTCAATTATTCAAATCCGATTGTTGGATATGAGGGTCTAAAGAGTTTGGGCCACCCACGTGAGTGATTGTAGATCCATGAGAAATGTTTTGGCTTCTTTCAATGGTGGATTACGCCTTTCTTTTCCAAAAATATCTTCAACTTGATCTGTCATAAAATGGGCTACTAAGCCTTATTTGCCAAATGCTGATGGTTAATGGTGTTCCCCTCCCTCCTTCCATGGAAGAGAACATTAAAAACTGTAGAAAGTGGGAAATCTAGCCACCAAAGTTGGCTTTCCCATTTCCAAAGAGTGACCCCAAAATGTATGATCTTGACATTTTGACTATAGTCACTACAAAGGGTTCTATCATTTAGATCCTTCAATTCTAGTCCCGACTTTAGAGAGTGTTTGGTATTTATCTATTGTCTGCCATGTTTAAATAATTATCTACTTCAATGTATGTGTATACAAGAACAAAAAATCAAGATTGCTCGTGTATTGATGTAGGAAAATCAATGTAAAAACTTTATATATTTTTTAGTGAAGAGTTTACTCTCAATAGAGAATTGACCATCATAAATTGTATTAAAGTTTACCATAAAGAAACAATGAATTGGGACATATATAAACAGCTTACCCCCTAAAAAGGAGAACTGGCCCATAATACAAAGGTCCAGCTCACCTACAAAGAAATCATAATAGAAGTTTTTAGCAATTATCATATCCTAACCTAAGGGAGACAAAGAAAGATGCTCCGGTTTTGTAGCCCCTTAAAAAAAACTTGAATTTGGTCCTAATTTCACAAGGAAGCTGGGTGGATGAACGAAATATAATCTTACAGTGGAAGTAACAAACACAATTAACTAGGGAATCTGCAAACAGGTGCAGTGATGAAAAATGTTTTCATTTTTCTAGGCCCCGTTTGTTTTTGGTAAATTACTTTAAGAGCAAAATGATTGTTTTTGGTAAATGTACTTATCCGGTTAACGGTTTGTCCATTTTCTCTTAACTCTTGCAATTTGAAGAACAAAATGATTGTTCCTTTCCTCTTATCTTTTATCTCTTAAAGTAGATTCTTATATTTTTTTGTTTTCCAATTATACCCCAAATCCACAAAACACGTTTTCCTCCTTATAACTCAAGGACCTCGTATGCAATAATAATAATAATAACTATTATTAATTATTTATTATAATAATAATAATTGTATTTTAAAATATAATTAATAATTAATTAATATTTATTATTATAATAATTAATCATTAATCCCAAGTGACTAAGTTGTTTTTTTCATCTATTTCCCCTATAAACAAAGGTATGATTTGTCTGTAATATGAGGAATGACAACCGAATAAAATGCATAACAGAGAAAATTATTCCGGAATCTTATTTTTGTAACATTTTGTGGAGAACCCATGAGTCGCATATGCACGACAAACTGCATTTTGTTTCATACTTACAAATTTTGGTGTCTTCTAATAATTCAATCCCTCTCTCTCACACAAACCATACATTTACAAGAGAATGATCTATAAATAGGGATTGGAGCAGAAGACAGCTTAACACATCTTAATAGAAAAATGAAGGCCGTTGCCCTAGTTTGCGTCCTTCTGATTTCAGCTGTTTTCACCCCAAGAGAAGTAGGGGCTCGGCTACTTGGTGAGTACACCATTTCAATTATATATAATTAATTGGAGAAACATTTGATATGTTATAGAATTAGTGGCTGTTTCATGCATTCGTTAGATTTGATTCATTCATAGCAAAGAAGATAGACCTTATTGATTTCTAATTCTCAGTCCAAAGAAGCTCAGTTTGGAAGGAGTATAAATACAAATATATAGAGTGCGAACCCTTATCTTTTGTGTTTTTTTGTATGAATTTGCATTGTACATATATTTGTAGATTAAGAGTCAGTTTGGAAGGAGTACAAATGCAAATATGTACAGTGCAAATATATACAAAATCATGGTTTTTAAAATCGATCCAGAGATCGAACCGGTCAGGGGTCTGATTATCGGGTCAAACGGCCCGACCATTTGAACTGAACAGTCAACCCATTCTGACAAAAAAATAAAAAATTTAAAAATAAAAGAACGGTCAAAATTGTTTGAATGGTTCGAACGATTAACCACTCGGGTCAACAGTTTGCTTACCAAAATCAACGGTTTTTTAAGAAAATCCAATTTTGGGGAAAACCAAAACTGGTCACCTGACTGGTTCCTGGTTTTTCCGGTCCGACTGTCCTGTCCAATCTGATTTTAAAAACCATATACAAAATAATACAAAATATAAGGTTTTATGCTCTACATATTTATATTTGTACTCCTTCCAAATTGAGCATAAGGAAAATATTTTCAATTACTTATTCTTTATCATCATCATCATCATCTAAGTTTATACTTATCGATGCCATACAGAAAAGAATGGTATTGTAATTAATCATAGGCGCTCCATCGAAAATACCATTACTTGTCGCAGAGAGGGTGAACCGTACAAGCCTTGCCTCCCCAAGAAGCCACCTCCGGCAAACTGCAAGACATATTGTTTTCAAAATCGGACTAAACCGGACGGTTAGACCAGAAAAACCGAGAACCGATTAGATGAACACTTCCAAAGTGGTTGTAGGAACTAGACGCTTTAATTACCGGTGAACACTTCCAAAGGTGATCCTCTCAAGTTTCCGGCTGTTTCATTTGATCCAATAGGTCCTATCGTCGCCCTACTCTAAGAAAGAAGTCACTATCAGGCCTACTGAAGTACCAAAGGTGCACTCTACCCGGTGACTAAGAAATGGGTTTGCGACTGAAGAAAGGAGGGCGGCGTTCGTCCCTCAAAAGGCGACCAACTTCCAATACTAGTTGTTGTTGGATTTTAACCTCATAAGAGATTAAATCCAATGGGTTTGATTGGTCAATTACATGAGGAATTGCACCTATACACTTGATTGAAAAATCAATTTTTCTCTTACAAAACCCAGTTTTGAACTTGTCCCACATTGGAAAATTATAAGTTTTGTTTTCAGTATTTCATTAGGAGCTGATTTACACTCCTTAGAATTAGTAGAGGAGAGTATGGGGATCCGATACCGCGCAATGAGGCACTTTAGAGGTGCACTTTGCTCGCACTTCGCGCGTGGCTCGCGATGGGTGGCTTTGGTTTTGGTGCATTGCTGACCGTTGATCACCGTTGATGAGATCAACGGTCACGATTCGATCGGGTGTGATCAAGAGGCACAATTCAAAGTTAACAGTCACTAACTGTTAACTACTTTTTAAATAGTCACAATGTTTGAAATTGTGATTGTTCAAGGTGCCTTCTCTAAACCAGCACCTACCTTTTCTTCATACCTCTTCACAAATTATTTAAGGAGCATGAATCAGACTCCAAATCACACAATTTCGAAATTCACTCTCTCTCTCTCTCATAAAAGGTTTCTTTGGAGACTCTTCAACTTTGCTAGTTGCAGATTCTCGCCCAAGGCTCTGTTGTATCCTGGAAACGAATTTGCCTGTAACCCAACAGCAAACTCAGTAAAATTGAGTGGGGGCAAATAACGTTCTAAAGACAGTGTCTTCAGACACGCCTCAGAGCTTCTCCTCCAAAGTTAGAGTGACCCCATTTTCTCCAACAATTGTTACGTTATGCTGCCATTTTTCCAATATTTTCGAATAGCATGGCCTGGGGCTAAGGTAACTCAAGTG